TGCCAGTCGCAACGGCTGTCTTCTCTGTCCACCTGTCCTCCTCGTGTCCCCTAATCCAGTGTCACTGTCCCCTTCCCAGGTGGCAGCCTGCAGGTGTGAGGGCGGCTACTCGGGTCCCTTCTGCCAGGACCCTCCGGACCCCTGCGCCCAGGGATGCTTCCCCGGCGTGGGCTGCGACTCGCACGCCGGTTGCGGCCCCTGCCCGGCTGGCCTGACCGGTGACGGGCGGCACTGCTCAGGTGACGAGGGCTTGCCATGGCCACCAGGAACCCGGGGCACCTGCGGGACCTTGGCCGAGGTATTTCTCCCGGTGCCATGTGCATTGCCTCGGCAGATATCGATGAGTGTGCACAGGGGACGGCGTGCCCGGGGAACGCCACCTGCACAAACACGGTGGGAAGCTACGCCTGCTCCTGCCCGGCCGGCGAGGAGGGTGAGTACGGGCACTGTGGTGGACATGTCCTCGTCCCCATCAGCCCCAGGCCTCGGTGGAAGTGGGCTCCCGTGGGATCCAAACTGGCCAGAGAGGAGAGGAGGGGGAGGTGGCTGATCTCTGTACCCAAGCCCTTGCTGTCCTTAACAGAAGGGACCAGAGTCCAGCCACCCCTCGTGCTCCCAGGCTGCAGATCTCACTAATCCACTGGGAAGGGAAACTTTTCCTGTGCAATTTTCCTCTTTGAGAAAAAAAAAAAATCTCAGCCCATCAAAGTTCAAATGCACATGTGGAGATTGGGGGGCTAAAATCAAATCCTGTTTTCAGATGGCTGTGGTGGGGTTGGGATGATGGGTTTTGCTCCTGTTCTAATGCAGCAGGCTGGGATTTCACCAAGGCAAAAGGCTCCAGCTGGGAGGAGGGGGTCCAGGGCTTTTCCTTGAGGAACTGAATTTATACTAAAAGTCCTAATGCATTAAAAAAAACACCAAACCTTGGAAGAAAGGCATTTCAGAGCGGCTGAGGGTGGATCAGTGCACTGGGGCTCTGCCCCTGCAGCCAGGCTCATGCCTCCACCTGACCTGGGCTCCCCATCCCACAGGTGAGGGGCCAGGCTGTGGCTCAGCCTGTGGCTCCCGCTCCTGCCCCGAGGGCTACTGCAACAACGGGGGACACTGTCGCCTGCACCCCATGACCTGCGCCCCCACCTGTGCCTGCCCCCCGGCTTTCGTCGACCAGCGTTGCCTGGTGGCGGGGGGGGATTTTCGGCCAATGCCCAGCGCAGGTGGGGTGCCTGGGCCCAGTGGGGGGTGAACCCCAATCCCGTTCGCCCCAGTCCTTGGGATGCCAGAGCCACCGCTGCGGCTTTCCCCCGGCAGATCTCCCCCACAGAAGTGTGCGGCTGCGGGTCAGGACGCTGCAAAACGCCACTGCCGAGGAAGTCAATGGCACCGTACGTTACCAGAGGGGATGGGCTCGGGGAGGGGGACGCACTGGCACACCGGGCAGCATGGCAGCTTGGGGTGCCCGTGCCTCCATGCACCCCCCTCCCACGGGATCGCCAGGGATCCAGTGGATCTGCAGAGCCAGAGGGAGGCAGTGCCAGCCGCCTGATGCCACCTGCGGCCGTGGCCATGTGCCAGGTCCCCAGCACGTGAACGAAAGGCCAGAGCAGCCCTTGGGGCTCGGCCACGGTGCCCACATCACCCTTCATCTTCTCCCTGCACCGGTGCTATCCTGCCCTCCCCTAACGCTCTTCTGCTCCCCCCGCCGCAGGTCTCGGCCATTCTGGGCTCCCTGGATGTAAAGGCTTTCCAGAGCAACATCAACATCACCCAGACGTGAGTCAGCTGTGGAGTGGCCCCTTGCCTACCCCAGGGAGCCAGCGGGGCAGGGCTGGGCATGGGGCCACAGGGTTTGGGACGCAAAAGGCATTTTGCCCCACCCCAGAGTCTGTTTTTCCAGCCCTGATGCTGATAAACCCTTGGAGACACAAGCCCCATGGCACCTTCCATCTCCTGCCTCATCCCTTCTTTACCACCTCCCAAATGGGGAAA